AGGGTTAAAGAGATTATTACACATTTACGGGAGGAAAAAAATAGGGTTAAAGAGATTATTACACATTTACGGGGGGGGGGGAAACTAGGGTTAAAGAGATTATTACACATTTACGGGGGGAAAAAAATAGTGTTAAAGAGATTATTGCACATTTACGGGGGGAAAAAAATAGGGTTGAAGAGATTATTTCACATTTACGGGGGAAAAAAATAGTGTTAAAGAGATTATTGCACATTTACGGGGGGAAAAAACTAGGGTTAAAGAGATTTTTACACATTTACGGGGGAAAAAACTAGGGTTAAAGAGATTATTTCACATTTACGGGGGAAAAAAATAGGGTTAAAGAGATTATTACAAATTTACAGGGGAAAAAAATAGGGTTAAAGAGATTATTACACATTTACGGGGTAAAAAACTAGGGTTAAAGAGATTATTACACAAATTTATTCAATGAGTTGTGCATGTTAACCTGTCTGATATCCAGTTTTTCTGCATATCACTATTATCTGAACCTTTGGCTGATTGGTCAGTTTTCTCACCAAATCGATGGCATGTGAACCTCTGTGATATTCAGTTTTTCTCCTTATCATTAGCAATGTTATCTGAATCTCTGGCTGATAAGCCAGATTTCTCTGCTTACCACTGGTATGTCAACTTTTGTCTGATAGGCCAGTTTCTGGTAATGAAGGATGCGGCTGGATGGCTGTTCCACGGCCATCACAATGTCGTCTTCGCGACAACGTGTACAATGGGTCGGTGGTGCCTTCTTCATCACCATAGTCATCACAGTATTTTTGTCCTTCCGTCTCCTCTTCCTGTTAGAAAGTTAATGATAGATAATGAGGTCATATGATATTTCATTTAATCAATACTGTCAAAATTTGCATAGCATCTACATCCATATAGCAAACATCCATCTAGAAACAGTTTTAACTTCAGTGAAGTCAGAAAATGAAGTTACTGCCGAAGGCCTAGAGTCCTAGATTTGTCTTACCTACATATAGACATGATAATTCTGCATGATAGATTGACTAAAGTGACCTACATGTATACTGTACTATGATTGATGATTCCTACTATTATTTGGTTGGTTGTATAGGGCTTAACGTCCTAACAGCTAAAGTCATATAAGGACGTGTCCTAATAGCATATAGAAGCAACCCTATAGAAACAATATTTCCTTAATTAAGATCAGAGAGTATATAGTGACCAAGTTTTGGTTTGATACAATCTACCTTTCCTAGATGTATAAGTACCAACATAATTGAACGAACACTTCTGAACCGTTTTGGTCCACAGACATGTTGTCAATGCAATTTTTTTAACTCTCTATTTTTCAGTAGAACATGTTAACCGTCTTTAAAAAACAAATACAATATCTCACTTGTGCTGTTCTACAATGTCTTGTAGTTTGACATTAGCAACCACATCCCCAAACACGAGTATAAAGTCACTGCGGATGATGGACTTGGCATCTATTTCTCGGAGAGCCTCTCCCATGGACAGACAGCCCTCAGAAAGCACGGTGGACACAGAGCAAGGAGAGCTGGTGTCACTCCACTTGGAGTTTCTGCAAGGAAAGAATAAAAAGGATGACTTATATGTTATATCAAAACATTTACCAGCTTAGGGAAACAAAACCAAGAGATCAATGAACAGAAATGAAAGCTTTGTGAGATTTTACAAGCATTATCTTGCAATCTTACCTCAATGGTGGACTAAGAACTAACGAGAGCTTTCTGCGAATTAAGGATGACTCTAAATCTTGAGTCCACTGCTACCAATAAATACTTCTATGTTTAAACACCTGACTTTGTTATCTTTCGGGACAATAAGAAACTTGAGAAAACTTATAATTTTACATAGATTTTGAACTCATTGGATATGAATTTGAAAAATAAACAAGAGGTCCATTGGACCTGTATCGCTCACCTGGTTTTATGTATAAATTATTACAACTGAATGCATTAGCACATCTTTATATGAAATTTCCTCAAAACCAGACAAGATCTATGTTCTAACCCAACTGGGAGCACAATATCTGACTTTCAACTAATCAAGGGCCTCCATTGTGTTGCCATGTTAACAGATTTTGAAATAAGTTATATGTCATTTTACTACAGGGTGTAATTAGACAATAATTTAATTTTCATTCAGCTGTAAGCTTTTATAAACCTAGAAACCAATTTTTATCAATTTATGAAACCTACACCACAGAATATGATAATCTAGCTGTACCATTTCTTAGGACCGCAGGGGTCAAATCAACCTCATTCAATTAAGAAATGTTTGTTCTTACTCAATAATGTTTTTGACAAAATTTTGTACAATCCACTCAGGCAATTAGGGGGTATTAGCGTCTTAAAGCAAAATATTAGATAATTTTCCTCTTTTGGGCCCGGCCTTCCTAGCCCCAGGGGTCGAACCAGCCTCATTTATTTAGGAAATGATTGCCGTCCCCCAATGAAGTTTCTGAGCAAATTTTGTTAAAATCGTCTCTGGTTTTTAGGAGGAAATCTGTTTTAAAGCAAAATTTTAGCTAAGTTCCCCTTCAGGGCCCCATCCCCTGGCCTCAGGGATCGAACCAACCTCATTTATTTAAGAAATGATTGCCCTGCCCTAGTGATGCTTCAGACTAAATTTGGTTGAAATCCTCTTTAGTGTTTAGGAGAAGATGCATTTTAAAGCAAATTTAGCTAAGTTCCCCTTCATGGCCCCATCCCCTGGCCTCAGGGATCGAACCAACCTCATTTATTTAAGAAATGATTGCCCTCCCCTAGTGATGCTTCAGACTAAATTTGGTTGAAATCCTCTTTGGTGTTTAGGAGAAGATGCATTTTAAAGCAAATTTAGCTAAGTTCCCATTCAGGGCCCCGCCCCCTGGCCTCAGGGGTCGAACAGACCTCATTTATTTAAGAAATGATTGCTGATGCTTCATTCCAAATTTGGTTGAAATCCTCTTTGGCTTTTAGGAGGAGATAGGTTGTAAAGAAAAAGTTGACGACGGACGACGGATGCTGCGCCACGGCATAAGCTCACTATGGTCCTTCGGACCAGGTGAGCTAATAAATCACGAGAAAAGTACCTGATATGAGACCGAATCTGTTCACCGAGATGACAGCAAAATATGAATATTTCTTGTACTTCAGCAGCACAAAGTAACTCCAGTGTATACTCCAGCATCGGCACATTGGCTACTGGCAGTAGTGTCTACAACATACATACATTATACTTACACTGTGTACTGTAATGGCAGTATAGACAGCTATACTTGTATACATACGGGTAAATATCTGTTTAGGTATCTGATATGAGTCATAATAGGAATATGGTCCAATACGCACTAGATCCAAATTAAATGACCAAATGTTTGTTGGATATAAGTTGTAGCAGAGGTCATTTTTTTCCAATGTCTCCGCTAGGAGTCGAACCTTGGACCACTGGTTTATGCTAGTCTTTTGCTCTACCAGATGAGCTAAAGAGAAATTTTCCGTGGCTGAGTCTGTAGGAAGTGACTAGTATTCTGTACCAGGGTGACACATGTAATCTGACATCTGGCAATCCTTCTCTTTGCCACGAGGACATGACAATTATAAACAAATACGTAAAGACACGAAAAAAAAAGACAAAAAACAATCATATTGTTACTTATGAATAACATGTACAAGTATAACATTAATGTTCATGCATATCCATTTTATCTATCTATATGTTGTAGTATACCATGGACTCAGATAATCTTAACTCTGTGGTTATACTCAACAGAGACCAAAATGGCTTTATAACCCTTTCACCGCTGTAGACCATAATGGACCTATCCAGATCAATGCATGGTAAGGTTTATCAAAGTTACATTGGGATGAAAGGGCTAATGCGGAGGAAAGCTGGCAGCAGAATACTATTTGGTTGGGAACTAAACTTTCTGAGACTATATCTGGCCTTTTATGTCATTTCTCTGCACATGCTGGATGCATTTTCTTTTTTTCTTTTAAATTTTAAATTTCACATTTATTATTAGAAATTACTGTTCATTTTAATCAAAAAGAGTTTTCCCCCTATTTTGGTTAAATGGTTTTTACCCAAATGCTTAAAAAAAAGTCCATGACTGACAGTTAATTCTTTTTCACATTAAAAATAGCATCATGATGTCACATTTGGATTGAAATGTCAGGCCTGTCATCATGTGTCTGGATTGCTTGCCTAAGTATAATACTCCTCCGTGCAATCACGTCTTATAAATCTTAAATCAATTATATTAATCAGCCTATCTGTTATCCGATTGTTTGATCTTAGACCTAGACCTAAATATCAATCAACAATCACGTACATGTACATACATAGTAAATGGGAGATAACTCTTCCTTTTTACATTATCCAATGTGTCGCCGAAACAGCTGTAAGTTGCATCAGCTTTACGCATTACTTATAGAAAATAGGAAACACGTCAATTACCCTTGGCTTTTTCTTCGATATTGGTGAAAATCCCAAATCGAAGCTATCTGCAATAATGACCGCTTGTAAGACATCTTCTTGTTTCAGCTCCACACGCTGTCCTTTCGACTTCGGAGCCATTTTGCAAATTAGTAAACTTCCGGTTCAACAATTTCCGGTAAAATCCACTGCAACAACAGGGTGTGAGGGTGTATTATTACAATTATTCGCTATCTGTGACTCATTTCCTTTTTTTCGTTCAAATGTACCGTTTTAGATTCGGAGAATATATATTTTTGGTTCGACACGAATAAATTAAGACCCAATAAAGCGTAAAAAATAAACCTGAATCTCACATTGACTTGGAATCTTCCTCAAGGGGATTAAGACGAGGAAGGGACGAAGAGTGAAAGGTTTGCTGAAGGCAGAAAAGATCAAATGTTTATGGTAAGTAAACTCACAGTCATTCTGTGTCCAAATATTTCTTAGAAATCGATAGTTTGACGGAATAATTACACGGTAGTGTTTGGATATTTAGTTGAAACAGGGGATTTCTTTCTCTGTATAATGTTGAGATTCATAATTATGTCACCACTTTTGACGGATAGCGTAATCTTGTATCCTTGAGTCACCTGTTCCGGTGCCTTTAAGAAGCAACCTTGAGTTCATGCTGATATCGGTAGGAAACTGTTGAAATTGTGGCATTCTGCAATTAACATACATGTATGTACAATTGAAGGAAATAAAAAACTGACAACTGTAAAATGCCTTTTTTCTCTGAAAAATATGAACAAATATTTTTTTTTGCCAACAAATGGTAATGACCGACATATGTTTCGGCACGGCAACTTTGATTCAGTGTTCAAAGAAAGAGAACTTGAATGCACTTAAAAGATATCCTCCATGATGGCCCAAACAGACAAATGCTTCACCCTTAAGGTGGCTCCACACATTGTCATCAGTGTCCATTTTCGTGACGTACTTCAGGAAAAAATACAGCTCGGACTCAATTATCTCGATCGAAATGTGCATGTACACTGTGTCGTCATTTCCGTATTGCGTATCGGGCATTTCAGTATATCGTAGTGCAAATTATAGTAACACCTGGTAAACAATAGACAGTACACGTGCGTGACGATGATACGTCAACTAACCGATATCGAGATTTTCCTGGGAAATGTGTAATCAGACAAACCAGACCAGACAACATTAAGAAGATTATATATGAAACACATGGAATGCGGACTGGTGTGATTTGTAGACTGACCTCACATGTGCATATTACGTGCTTACACGAGTTCACAAGCTCGAATCGAAGTCGTTACGATTTTCGCTGTTGAGCGAGTTTCGCTCTGTCGATTAAATCGTTTTTACAAATGCAGTCTACTTACTCTGTGAGAAAAGTGTTTTGTAAAATATCAAGATCCCTATAAAAATGCATGTTTGAGTGCACATGAGAACTGCATACCTTGCAATAGCCTCTGGGCACATGTACCCGACATGTAAATATACCGTGCATTAGCGGGCTGTGGAATGATGTCCAAAGTGTCAATGACTGAGAGTAATTTGGTTCCATAAAAGAAAAAAATGCATTGACATGGATATTACAGGTGTGTACTAATCCTAGAAATAAAGGGCATGTCTCCGATACACCAGTAGAAATGGCCTGATCCTAGAAATAAAGTGCAACCATGTCTACGATACACCATGTAGAAATCGCCTGATCCTAGAAATAAAGGGCATGTCTCCGATACACCAGTAGAAATGGCCTGATCCTAGAAATAAAGGGCATCCATGTCTCCGATACACCATGTCTCCGATACACCTGTAGAAATCGCCTGATCCTAGAAATAAAGGGCATCCATGTCTACGATACACCATGTCTCCGATACACCGGTAGAAATCGCCTGATCCTAGAAATAAAGGGCATCCATGTCTCCGATACACCAGTAGAAATAGCCTGATCCTAGAAATAAAGGGCATCCATGTCTCCGATACACCAATAGAAATGGCCCGATCCTAGAAATAAAGGGCATCCATGTCTCTGATACACCAGTAGAAATAGCCTGATCCTAGAAATAAAGGGCATCCATGTCTCCGATACACATGTAGAAATAGCCTGATCCTAGAAATAAAGGGCATGTCTCCGATCCACCAGTAGAAATAGCCTGATCCTAGAAATAAAGGGCATCCATGTCTCCGAAACACCAGTAGAAATGGCCTGATCCTAGAAATAAAGGGCATATCTCCGATACACCAGTAGAAATAGCCTGATCCTAGAAATAAAGGGCATCCATGTCTCCGAAACACCATTAGAAATGGCCTGATCCTAGAAATAAAGGGCATGTCTCCGATCCACCAGTAGAAATGGCCTGATCCTAGAAATAAAGGGCATGACTCCGATCCACCAGTAGAAATGGCCTGATTCTAGAAATAAAGGGCATCCATATCTCCGATACACCAGTAGAAATGGCCTGATCCTAGAAATAAAGGGCATCCATGTCTCCAATACACCAGTAGAAATGGCCTGATCCTAGAAATAAAGGGCATCCTTGTCTCCGATACACCAGTAGAAATGGCCTGATCCTAGAAATAAAGGACATCCATGTCTCCGAAATGCAAAAAAAAATGTTGACCCCCGCTGATAGTAATTTTTTTCTTAAAACCTGTCTTAAATTAATTATCACCTACTAGGTAAAAGAAATACTCACGTTTTAGCATAGATCAATCCGGTTAGTTTTGAATAATATTTATTTGCCTAGTACAAAAATAGGACTACATGAAAAGCTAGCTTTTGTTGTGTAGACATAGATTTGTAAATGGCAAAAACTGTATTCTCAAACCAAATGCAACTTTTTTTCTGGAAAAAATATGAAACCCAAATGTTCCACTTCATCATGTTTATGCCAATTTTAATGCTGATTTAAAACAAAAATTCATATATGTAATATTACAGGGGTTATTCATTGAACAAAAAGGATAACCCATGACCACCGGATGCTATTGTATACCTAGACTAGGGCATGGATATAGTGATCATGATATAAGGACAAAGTGATCTGGTTTCAAATGTTGACTACCATATGAGCTCATATTCAGAAATGTGATATCATTTATTTTAATATGATATGTTTCCTTCATATTTTAGTCAGCAAATGACTGGAATCAAAATATAGGTATTGGTAGTTGGCTTCTGAATATGATGTATACTGAGATATATTTTTTCGATGCAGTTTAATTTTTCGCCCTTTTCGCTCTCTGTAATGAGGGTAAATTTATCATTACAGTGAAGATTTGTAAACAACACAATATACATAGGAATTAAATGCGAAAGGCGAATAAATATTGGGCGAAAATAAAAAATGTTACCGCCAAAGGTTGAACATTTTCTGGTGTACCGACATACTTTTTCCTGCTCGTTTTGTGTTCATTGTTAATTTGCACATCAATGATCATCTAGCTAATCTACAATAATTAATAATTATTGCTTCATTCTCAATGTTATAAAAAAATATACAGAGAGTCCTGAGAAAAGGAGTCAAGCATTGTATTGCATGGGAGATAGAGAATTCTACCCACAGATGTACAAAATTGGGCTCTGAACCTTTGCTAAATGAAGCATTTGTTCTGATACAAATTACAAGTAGGTTCAAGCTGATTTGAATTCGGTGCCCTGGAGTTGAATTGTATTATACTCTATCTTTCATACCAACATACATGTATGGATTATAGTGTAATCTTTTCATACATTGTACATGCAAGCCATCTTATCAATATTTTGATATAGGCTATATTAATTCAGTAACTATTGTTGCGCTGTTAATACAAAAATGTAATAACTATATAACAATGTTACGATACAATTTCTGTGAGCATGTGTATCATAACATAAAATAAAACAGTTCATACATAGTGTGTATGCTTTAAGTCCTGTGTATGTAAATTATGAAATAAAACAGTTCATACATAGTTTGTATGCTTTAAGTCCTGTGTATGTAAATTATAAAATAAAACAGTTCATACATAGTTTGTATGCTTTAAGTCCGGTGTATGTAAATTATAAAATAAAACAGTTCATAAATAGTTTGTATGCTTTAAGTCTGGTGTATGTAAATTATAAAATAAAACAGTTCATACATAGTTTGTATGCTTTAGGTCCTGTGTATGTAAATTATAAAATAAAACAGTTCATAAATAGTTTGTATGCTTTAAGTCTGGTGTATGTAAATTATAAAATAAAACAGTTCATACATAGTTTGTATGCTTTAAGTCCGGTGTATGTAAATTATAAAATAAAACAGTTCATACATAACTTGTATGCTTTAAGTCCTGTGTATGTAATAGAAAAACAGTTACAAAAATTTATAAATTTAACACCAAAACATGTGTATGGTTTGTTTGATAAACCAGTATGTCCTGTATTGAGTTACGGATGTGAAGTTTGGGGTTTTCATTCGGTGATGGCGATAGAAAAACTGCACTTGAAATTTTGTAAGCGGTTACTTGGAGTTAAATCTTCTACGCAAAACAATTTTGTTTATGGAGAACTAGGTTGTCTTCCCCTTAAATTTAAAAGATACGTTAAAATTATGAAATATCGGTTAAAAATTGTTCATAAACAGAAGAACGTTTTAGTCCAGTCAGTCTATGGTGAGCTTTATACACGAGCGGAAACGTCACGTGTGACAAATTGGGCAAAGTTAGTGAAAAATTTATTATGTACTTGTGGTTTCGGATATGTATGGATTGAACAAGGAGTTGGAGATGAAAAAGTATTTTTAGAATTATTTCAGACCAGAGTGAGGGATATTTTTATACAGGATTGGCATAGTGCTCTTGTTGACTCGCCAAGAGCAAGATGTTATATACGTTTATCAAATGAATTTGGTTATAAGAAATATCTTGATGTAGTAACCGTTAAAAAATTTAGAAAATCTTTAACAGCGCTTCGCATATCTGCCCATAGATTAAATATAGAAACAGGGAGATGGCATAGACCTAACCCAATACCTGCAGAAATGCGATATTGTAGTGCGTGTACTAAAATTGAAGATGAATATCATTTTGTTATGGAATGTCCGTTATACTTTGAAATTAGATCAAAATTTTTGAAAAAAACTTATTACCGTAGACCAAATATGGACAAATTTGTTGAACTTGTTTCTTCAGAAAACAATTTTATTATTAGAAATTTAGCTATGTTTATTTACAAAGCAAATGAAATTAGACATGGAATTTTGTTTATTTTGTAAATCAAATTAATTCCTTGCATCCTTCGTTTCGCATTAATTAATTTTTTGTTAAAGTCTATTGCATCCTGTGTTCATGCTTACTATTGTGAATGAATATGTTCCTTGTAAATGTGTGTTATTTTGCTGCTATAAAATTCATGTAAATATGTATTTATTATTGCCATTATGTCATTGCCATGTTTTAAATGTGTGTAAAGCACAAAGGCATTGTTGCCTATTGCAAATTAAATAAAAGAATATGTAATAAAATGTGACATACTTTTACTAGTTTTCCTGAGTTACCCTTTTGTTTGTTTCTGATTCATTAACTTTCTCAAATTGAAATAATTAAGTTTGGACTGACTTTCATATCTAAACTTCAGGACACTTGACATTTGCATCAGTGAAACAAAAATGTATTAAAATATGTCATTCACAATAATGGGCCAGATCCCAGCAGTCTCCAGCTGTTCTGTCTCCTGGTGAGGTGGTATAAAATGTAGTCATATATATATATATATAATTACACAAAGCTATTTAAAACTGAAAAGCCATGTACACCTCCAAAAGCTGACATATATGAAACATTTTCATTTTATTTACTAACAGGGTTGAAGGATAGTATTTTGATTGGGAAACATCAAATCTATTATCTTTCAGTAGATTGACTTTAGTACAGTCATTGACCTTTTCTGATTGATATTTTTAATCATCATACCCTGCATAAATGCTTAAAGCCAAATAAGGAAGTAATTAAATTCATTATGGTCAATTGTTGTTATTTATATACAAAGTTCAACAGTTTAAATAAATACACTAACACATTCTTATGATCATGTGAAAAACTTTTGATATGGTTGCTAGCTGGGTGAATTTAAATGTTTCATTTATACCTGAGGGTACAATTATTTCATGCTCACTTATAGAAGCAAAACTGGTTCTCACATTTATATTTGATAATGCATTTCAGTTAAAATCTGACTCGAGTTATTCAGGTTACATTACACAGCAGACATATGTACACAGGTATTCTATGTGTTGGCATATATTACAGTATGCATGCTATATATATTCCATTGAAAACTTTAATTATTGATGCTGGTATTGATTTTCCCCTATTTGATACCAGGTACAGGTACAAAGTAACACCTTAACTACGACTGTACAAATGTTCTCTCATCAGCTTTATTCTGGTATTTCTTATATTTGGTTTTAAAATGACCTATATACTCATGTACATTGTAGATGTAATCTAATTGTAAGCAAACTTTAATCTGAATTCTATAAATATTTATTAACTCTCCACAAAAAAGCACCTTGGTGGTTTATTCAGAACAAGTTCTGTGTAGATTCCTATGACAAACACATTGGTGGTTTATTCAGAACAAGTTCTGCGTAGATTCCAATGACAAACACATTGGTGGTTTATTCAGAACAAGTTCTGTGTAGATTCAAATGACTAACACCTTGTTGGTTTATTCAGAACAAGTTCTGTGTAGATTCCTATGACAAAAACATTGGTGGTTTATTCAGAACAAGTTCTGTGTAGACTCCTATCTATGACAAACACAGCGGTGGTTTATTCAGAACAAGGTCTGTGTAGATTCAAATGACCAACACCTTGTTGGTTTATTCAGAACAAGTTGTGTGTAGATTCCTATGACAAAAACATTGGTGGTTTATTCAGAGCAAGTTCTGCGTAGATTCCAATGACAAACACCTTGGTGGATTATTCAGAACAAGTTCTGCGTAGATTCCTATGACAAAAACATTGGGGGTTTATTCAGAACAAGTTGTGTGTAGATTCCTATGACAAGCACATTGGTGGTTTATTCACAACAAGTTCTGTGTAGATTCCTATGACCAACACATTGGTGGTTTATTCACAACAAGTTCTGTGTAGATTGCAATGACAAACACATTGGAGGTTTATTCAGAACAAGTTGTGTGTAGATTCCTATGACAAGCACATTGGTGGTTTATTCAGAACAAGTTCTGTGTAGATTCCAATGACAAACACATTGCATTAATCTCAGCATTGTTTCTGGCATAATTAAATCACTGATTTAAAAATTGTTCTGGTAAAGATGAGATGAGATTTTAACAGACAGATTCAGCTGTATATATGTACAGTTTTCTGTACAGTACAATTTACTGGTAATTATATATATAATTAGTATTAAACATGTTGTAATAACAGATTAAGTGATGTACGGAAAACCTTTGGTCAGTTCAAATAGGTGGATAATTCGAACACACTTTTTGAATAATAAAAATAATAATTTTCTGTCTAGTGATAGTTTGAACCCTGCTTACACATGTTTGGGATTGTTCGAACACACAACTTGAGTACTGAAATTTCAGAATTAATTTATCGAGGTTGGCTATCGGCAATGCAATAACAGCCTCACGAAACTCGCTGAAACTGATCCATTTTCGTATATTTATTCAATTTCGTTCGATCTGACCGGAGGTTTACTGTATGTACATACATTTCTGTAAAGTGACAGCAAAAACTATAAAAGCATACGGTGTATGGTCTTTTTCATTTAATTATCTATTACAAAAGTCAACAATTCAAATTAACAATACTTTAGTTATACCGATACAACCCATCAAAATAAAACTTGGGGGTAGTATTACCCATGGCCATCCACTTTGGAAAGTATGAGTAGAATTACTCATTGGTAAAATTCTTATCTGGAACACAGACTTTAATAGTCTCGACCAGAAATAAACTTAAAAACTTAATTAAATGTTTCAGTGTTTACATAGATGTGGTTTCCTATCTGCCAATAGATATATTTCAGTGAGGCAGTTCTGTACGAAATGTAATGGTGGTCAGGTGACGCAATGGATAGCCCACATGTCTTTCACCAAGGCGGCCAGGGTTCGATTCCCCGACCAGACGTGAAAAAGTATGGGGTCACCCGCCCGTACACGTGGGTTTTCTCCGGGTACTCCGGTTTCCTCCCATATCAAGACCCCTAGCTGTGCACTTACAACTGGACCAACAAGAGGGATTAATATAAGTTGAAATAACTTGTTTTATAATTGTTATGAAATAAATAACGTTTATATTTAACAAATGTAATTTGCTATAGTTTACCCTGATATATAGAAACTGAACACTATAGCTATAATTGTATACATGCATGTAGTCATGGTCTGGTTTACACATTCAGTGTGTAAAGATATAATCGGTACAGTAAATTAAACCACACTGTGAACTATATACACACTTACATAAATTTCATAAACTTAATCAAGTGTGTTCTTATGAGAACCATATGTTTTAGAGTATATATGGCTATAGGGGGAAAACGTTGATTAGAGTCAGCGATATCAGATCACCAGCTACTTTTTGTTTTCCAATTTCATGGTTTAGCCCAGGGCTGGCTTTTGTTAACATTGATGACGTGGCTATGAATTAAACCTTGGCCTGTACATGTTTGAATTTATTTATAGACTTCCTTTCAAAGAAGGCTTGTTCGTGTTCATAGATACGTGCATTTGTTTAATGTTGTTAAATTTTTGTAATTTGAATGGTTTGAATCGTACATAGTGTAGTTGTACAGTTATACAATCTGTAGATTAGTGGCATTGTCCAACCTTTAAAAAATGGAATTACTTTGCTAGCTGGATTATATATATAAAGGAGGATTCAGAATTATTTAAAATTCCTATTTGTAACCTTTGATTCCATAGAGTTATGTTATATGATTGGACATCAGATGTTGACCTAACATGTTGAGATTGATGTTTTTTGTAGAGACTATATAGTTAGATACATCAGTGTGTGTTCTCGTGTGAGTTATATACATTTGTACGACCCTGTGACATGTGTAGGATATATATGTAACATTCAATCACACAGCTCCCACACACTGCTTCTACTCACTGATTCCACTCACTGCTCCCAGGCTCTGTAGCCCCAGGAATGTTCATGTCAACACTGAACACCTATTTAGAAACCTAGTATTAATGTGAAAAAATAATCATCGCTGAAAGTATTGTTGTCAGCTATAGGTAGCTCTGCTTCTGTAGGAACTGCTGATGTACTGCTGATGTACTGTATAAGGATGGAATGCTAGAGTATGATGTGTAGTACGTGTAGGATTATAGAAAACACCTACCCCCATACTATCTTCTAGACCATCATTAAGCTGGAGGAGCTCCCAATAACTTGTTAATGTAAAACTGTTGAAGTGACATTTTCTGCATTTATCATCAAGGATTCAGTTCATTTTGTGTTTACCAAAGATTTACTGGACGCAGTGAACATCAGGATTTCTGCTGCTTACACATAGGACTGATATCTTATATTTTGACACAAGATGGATAATTTCCGTTACAGACTTTTTGACATGACGCTGAAAAAGCTCTGCTGTGTGGGTGCGGGGTACGTGGGAGGCCCTACCTGTACGGTCATCGCCAGTAAATGTCCCCAGCTGACCGTTACTGTGGTGGACCTGAGCGAGGAACGGATCGCACAGTGGAATTCAGAAAATCTTCCAATATTTGAGGTATGTGTTATTTTATAAAATTACTGATTTGTTTGGGGGTTTTTTTATTGGGGGAGGGGAGGGGGTATTTTTACGGACTCTTTGTACCCTTTTGGTTCCACTACATTTTGTAGGTATTTTCCTTAAAAGACAGTTTTGATCTTATTTAATTTCTTAAGTTGTCACGATTTTATCAATAAATCTGAGAAATATATTTTTTTGATAATGATGATCAATTTGTTACCGAGAGATTCAAGCTTTTTTTGTATTTTCAGTTTTCTGCATGTATCTTTTCGGAATTACAGCAATATTGCATTTCTTGTAACCGTTTAAGACAAAAAAATACTGTACATTAATGGACATTGCACAAATTGTACATGTAGTTTTTATGTTTTTAACATATGTACAATTGTTTAAAAAAGAAATTAAAACATTACTGTGTACCTGAGCTTTTAAGAATGAATCCCAGCTGATTTCCAAATATTGGAGAGATAAACCACATGACACTATAGTGAGCATACTGCCTGTCCAGATGGTGTATCCTAGTCTTTGTATACTATTTAGACATTTAATGTATAATAATTCAAACTCCTGATGACAGTATTGTATGACAAAGTTTGAAGAGTTCAGTATAAATATGGAGTGCGAACAAGTGTTATTGACATGTATCAGTATGTATTACCGTGAGAATCGGATACCGATGTCACCATAGGTCATGACAAACACACCATATATGGATTATTTTATCAATAATCAAAGGGCTGATGGTTTTGGCCATATAAGGATGTAAGTTAGCACATGTTATCCATAACTCGTCTGATTTGATAGACTGGTATATGCCATGCCGTGGCATTCAATCTCCATCCTTCTATCTCTCAAGATTTTCATTTAAAAGCTTCTAGTCCTGAATGGCTCAGCGAATTTAAATCAAATTTGGTATAAAGCACTGTAAGGTCAATTGGAGGTTGAAGCTCTCCTTGTGGCCGAGGGGTAGGGCTCCATTAGGGGGGCCGAGGGGTAGGGCTCCATTAGGGGGGCCGAGGGGTAGGGCTCCATTAGGGGGGCCGAGGGGTAGGGCTCCATTAGGGGAAATACAGGTAAATGTTAAGAATCCTTTCCTTTCGTACAAGTGAAACAGATTTTTACTGAATTTGATCTGGGTCATCCTTGGGCCAAGATGACCGATCAATGATGCGTAAATGGAGGGTTTAATGTTGTAGAAATGAAGGGTGTGCACTTCTCCCACCCCTAGGGAATTTCAGATATATTGTTGTTCTACTAAAAAATTATAGAGATCCCCAGGGGCCCAACATATAACCCCATAAACACACTAGTACTCAGTAGGCATAAAGAAACAAAATAATATGTCCATGCTACCAGGATCGGTTCAGGGTTCATACACATGCCCTAGCTAGCTGCCCTGGGGACTTAATCAAGAATTTCTCTTCTCCGAATGATAACTTAAAAAACCATGAAGTTCAAACTTATAGCATTGGTAGCTCTATCATATATACTCAGATCTCCACTGGTCAACATGTAAATGAATGATTTTAACAAACCTGCATTAGAAGGCGCGGTAGTCTAGTGGTAGGACGCGGGGCTCGTGACCGAAAGGAGGCAGGATAGTCTAGTGGTAGGACGCCGGGCTCGTGACCGATGGGAGGCACGATAGTCTAGTGGTAGGACGCCGGGAACATGACTGAAGGGAGGCACGATAGTCAAGTGGTAGGATGCAAGGCTCGTGACTGATGGGAGGTACGATAGTCTAGTGGTAGGACGCCGGGAACGTGACTGAAGGATGGCACGATAGTCTAGTGGTAGGACACCGGGCTCGGGACCAAAGGGAGGCAGGATAGTCTAGTGGTAGGACGCCGGGAACATGACTGAAGGGAGGCATGATAGTCTAGTGGTAGGACGCCGGGAACGTGACCGAAGGGAGGCACGATAGTCTAGTGGTAGGATGCCGGGCTCGTGACCAAAGGGAGGCACAATAGTCTAGTGGTAGGACGCCAGGAACATGACCGAAGGGAGGCACGATAGTCTAGTGGTAGGACGCCGGGAACGTGACCGAAGGGAGGCACGATAGTCTAGTGGTAGGATGCCGGGCTCGTGACTGAAGGGAGGCACGATAGTCTGGTTGTAGGACGTCAGGCTCATGACCGATGAGAGGCACGATAGTCTAGTGGTAGGACACCGGGAACGTGACAGAAGGGAGGCACGATAGTCTAGTGGTAGGACGCCGGGCTATTGACTGAAGGGTTGCGGTTTCGAGTCACAGCACGGCACTGTGTTGTATCTTTGAGCAAGATACTTTACTCCGCTTGTTCCAGTCTACTCAGCTGTAAATGAGTATGTGGTTTGGCAGTGCTAGAATTGTTAAATGCTAGCTGTGAGCACTGAAATGGCAGCTCCGGCTGTATGCTCCCCAGGGAGTTGAGAAATATATTGGCTGGTTGCAAAGGCCCTATAACCACGGATAATAATATTTTAACCGCTTTGAGACGACCTACGAACAAGGTTGTGATAAAGCGGTATATAAGAACTTCAAAATATTATTATTATAATTATTTCATATGCAAAGAATGGGTAGCATGTCCACATAGAATTATTGTACACTGTAAAACAGATTGTACAGTTTATGCACAAGTTTCCTGCCCTTCTCGAACACAAATCCATGATGGGTCAATCACAAATCCTGAACATATTTTTTCAAATTGATCACTAAGGCCCAAAATGAGGCTACAACTATTCATCAATGGTTATATATGTCAGCAAATATTCATTGTTTTACCAGAACAACCAAATTTACAGTGGTACCTGTTCAGATTTAATGACTTTCAGTAGATCGAGACCCCTGAGAATATTTTGACACCAAAAAAGATCTTTGTCTTTTGAATTTTAAAGGTCATGTCTACTTGGCCTATGTTTTGACTCCCCAGATTTCAGGAAACATTTTATTTGAATTCTGAAAATGCTAATTATATATATAAGTATCAAGGGTCAACTACTACATTTGAAGTTCATCAATACAACTTATTATTAGATTAGGCATTGTTCAATCACAATAAGGATTGGATTTGAAGGGCCTATGACTTTTGATATGATATCATCAAAATGAGATAGGATGCACCTTGACAAGGGAGATAACTCCAGACCAGGCTTTGACTGGAAGCTTACAGAGACGTATAACTGCAGCAGTGGTAGACTTTACCTGGAGGAAAACATTCTGTGTTAACATCATAAAATCTTGGTTCTTTCTCCTCATTGTTTTAGCATTTAACTCATTCACCGCTGAAATTTCATAATGATCTATTCCAACCTTTGAATTGGAAGAGTTCAAATGTGTTTTCAGGGGTGAATGAGTTAAACTCGATGTTATTATTTATTTTACTTGAATAACTACATGTTCTATCTGCTGCTTTTTTTGAGAGCAACAAATGGAATGTTTAACTGTGACGATCTGTCATTATTTTGACAGACATTGAAATAAGAACATCAATACCAGTGTTCTAATGTTAATAACATCCCACTTGTCTGACATCTGACACAGACCAGTACAGGGGATGTGTACATCAGCCGATGACAAAGTCTTTACAAACAAACATGTACAGTTGTACTGTCAAGATCAGGCCCAATCTCAGGAATTTATATGTTTGGGGAATTTCAGGCCCAAGTTTCACAAAAAGTCTCATCTTGGATTGAACATTCAAACACTTTAATTCTGAAATCTTTAAATATATTTCCTGAACCTTCCAGATTACCTATAAATACAATTTATACATCAATTTGAATTTCTTAAGACAAGTTATACATTTGCATACATCTGTTTCTAACGGCATACTTGAATAAAAACTTTTTTATTTAGAAGCTAAATATTTGAAAGTATAATTTGTTGATTGGGAGGATTTCTAGCATAAGAAAGTAAGAGTGTTAGACCTGGGGCCAGATGATTATTTATGCAGGGAATTGTTTAAAAATTCCACTTTTATCTAAAAGGGATTTGAATACTTGCCTCTAAACATGAATATATTATCAGTTAAAATAATAACCAGAGGTGTAGTGGACCAATCTAATTGTGATAGGTATACATTAAGCTTCCTAAATAAAACTAGATCAGATCAACAGGTGATTGTAAAATGGTTTATACATGTATCTCCTGTCATGTAATACATTACTGGAGAAAGCAGGTGACTGACTATTTAAAAGTGAGATACACCATACTATTCTATTACATGTAATACATTACTGGAGAAAGCAGGTTACTGACCATTTAAAAGTGAGATACACCCTACGATTCTATTACATGTAATACATTACTGGAGAAAGCAGCTTACTGACTATTTAACAGTGAGATACACCATACGATTCTATTACATGTAATACATTACTGGAGAAAGCGGGTTACTGACTATTTAAAAGTGAGATACACCCTTACGTTTCTATTACATGTAATACATTACTGGAAAAAGCAGGTTACTGACTATTTAAAAGTGAGATACCCCCTTACGTTTCTATTACATGTAATACATTACTGGAAAAAGCAGGTTACTGACTATTTAAAAGTGAGATACACCATACTATTCTATTACATGTAATACATTACTGGAGAAAGCGGGTTACTGACTATTTAAAAGTGAGATACACCCTACGATTCTATTACATGTAATACATTACTGGAGAAAGCAGCTTACTGACTATTTAACAGTGAGATACACCATACGATTCTATTACATGTAATACATTACTGGAGAAAGCGGGTTACTGACTATTTAAAAGTGAGATACACCCTACGATTCTATCACATGTAATACATTACTGGAGAAAGCAGCTTACTGACTATTTAACAGTGAGATACACCATACGATTCTATTACATGTAATACATTACTGGAGAAAGCAGGTTACTGACTATTTAAAAGTGAGATACACCCTACGATTCTATTACAGTGCCGTCAGTTCAGCCACAGCTCCATACAGAAATGCCTACAAATCACGACACAGAACGGCTATTTAAATCAACTTTAAAACTGTTCATGTTTTTGAACAGTGAATATCTCTACAAATTACATCATCATGCTTTATCATTTGATCCCTTTTGCTGAATTGATTTTCATCCAACTTTATTACAAAAATATTAAGTTTGAAAATATCTCTGATTATTTCATATTCAACGTTCCCTAGTCAGGAAGCAATGGGTTAGGTCTCTGACAGGTTGCTTTGCTGTTCTAGGCAATCTGTCTGTCAGTTGTTAGTCAGCAGGTTAGACAGGATGAAAGGAAGCATCACATGACATGTAATATGGATACAGGATACAGATCCTGGTAAATGTCCGTTACATTACAGGTACTGTACATATACCTGTAATGTAATGGAATAGTGCTGTAGTGCTAAATCAATTCAGTTACCATCGAAAAACATCGGTAATATTTGGTTGTATCTTTTGTTACAGCCTGGTTTGTATGATCTAGTGAAGGAATGTCGTGGCCGTAACCTGTTTTTCTCCACAAAGGTAAAGGAGGCTATTGTGGAAGCTGACCTTATCTTCATCTGTGTCAACACACCGACAAAACACTTTGGAATGGGCAAGGTAGGAAATGTTAACAGATCTTTGTCACTTAGATACTGATATGGTGTGGGGAAGGAAAGAGGGTGGGCCTATATCTGAACATGGACTTCTTGCTAACATAACATGTTATACAAATGTGTTTCTGTTTTGATAGGGGAGAGCAGCTGACCTGAAATACATAGAATCAGCAGCACGAATGATAGCAGAGGTGTCCAAGAACTCGAAAATCGTGGTCGAGAAAAGTACCGTTCCTGTAAAGGCAGCTGAGAGTATTACAAACATCATGAAGGCAAACATAAAACCTGGGGTACAATATCAGGTAAGATACAGCAGCTTCACGAAAACCTGGTGTACAATATCAGGTAAGATACCACAGCTTCACTAAAACCTGGGGTATGGGGTACAATGTCAGGAAAGATACTGCAGCTTCGCGAAAACCTGGGGTACAATATCAGGTAAGCTACAGCAGCTTCACGAAAACCTGGGGTACACTATCAGGTAAGATACCACAGCTTCACGAAAACCTGGGGGACAATATCAGGTAAGATACCGCAGCTTCACGAAAAACTGGGGTACAATATCAGGTAAGATACAGCAGCTTCCCGAAAACCTGGGGTACAATATCAGGTAAGATCCAGCAGCTTCACGAAAACCTGCGGTACAATATCAGGTTATAAGATACCGCAGCTTCACGAAAACCTGGGGGACAATATCAGGTAAGATACCGCAGCTTCACGAAAACCTTGGGTACAATATCAGGTTATAAGATACCGCAGCTACACGAAAACCAGGGGTACAATATCAGGTAAGATAACGCAGCTTCACGAAAACCTGGGGAACAATATCAGGTAAGATACAGCAGCTTCACGAAAACCTGGGGGACAATATCAGGTAAGATACAGCAGCTTAACGAAAACCTGGGGTACAATATCAGGTTATAAGATACAGCAGCTTCACGAAAACCTGGTGTACAATATCAGGTAAGATACCACAGCTTCAAGAAAACCTGGGGTATGGGGTACAATATCAGGTAAGATACCACAGCTTCACGAACACCTGGGGTATGGGGTACAATGTCAGGAAAGATACTGCAGCTTCACGAAAACCTGGGGTCAATATCAGGTAAGATACAGCAGCTTCACGAAAAACGGGGGTACAATATCAGGTAAGATACCACAGCTTCACTAAAACCTGGGGTATGGGGTACAATGTCAGGAAAGATACTGCAGCTTCGCGAAAACCTGGGGTACAATATCAGGTAAGATCCAGCAGCTTCACGAAAACCTGCGGTACAATATCAGGTTATAAGATACCGCAGCTTCACGAAAACCTGGGGTACAATAGCAGGTAAGATACAGCAGCTTCACGAAAAACGGGGGTACAATATCAGGTAAGATACCACAGCTTCACGAACACCTGGGGTATGGGGTACAATGTCAGGAAAGATACTGCAGCTTCGCGAAAACCTGGGGTACAATATCAGGTAAGCTACAGCAGCTTCACGAAAACCTGGGGTACAATAACAAGTAAGATACTGCAGCTTCACGAAAACCTGGGGTCAATATCAGGTAAGATACAGCAGCTTCCCGAAAACCTGGGGTACAATATCAGGTAAGACATTGCAGCTTCACGAAAACCTGGGGTACAATAACAAGTAAGATACCGCAGCTTCACGAAAACCTTGGGTACAATATCAGGTTATAAGATACCGCAGCTTCACGAAAACCTGGGGGACAATATCAGGTAAGATACAGCAGCTTAACGAAAACCTGGGGTACAATATCAGGTTATAAGATACCGCAGCTTCACGAAAACCTGGGGTACAATATCAGGTTATGAGATACCGCAGCTACACGAAAACCTGGGGTACAATATCAGGTAAGATACCGCAGCTTCACGAAAACCTGGGGCACAATATCAGGTAAGATACCACAGCTTCACGAAAACCTGGGGTACAATATCAGGTAAGATACTGCAGCTTCACGAAAAACACTGCATACTGTATATACATCCCAGCAGCTGTGTCATTGTACTGGTTTTGAAAGTAATGTGACTGTGTATTACACCTGACAGTGAATATGTCTAAAGGAGTATACGTAACATGTCATGCAGTACCTGTCTCATCCTTAAACTGTGCAAAATTGTACTGTTTCACAGTGTCGTAAGTTTGAACTTTTAAGATGGTTAAAAGATGGCATTATAAGTATTAGATACTACGTGGGAAGTGATTCTCCCTTGCATGCTCTGTTTAATTGTTGTGACTGCATGTCTTACAGGTTCTGTCCAACCCTGAGTTCTTGGCGGAGGGGACAGCGGTCAACGACTTAGTCAATCCAGACCGTGTTCTTATTGGTGGAGACCCCTCTCCATTAGGTCAGGAAGCTGTCCAATCTCTTCGCTGGATTTATGAACACTGGGTCCCACAAGAGAAGATCATCACCATGAACACCTGGTCATCTGAACTCTCCAAACTAGTAAGGCTTGAGATGTAGGCCTATAAGTCGGAACTCTCCAAACTAGTAAGGCTTGGGACGTAGGCCTATAAGCCTGAACTATCCAAACAAGTAAGGCTTGGGGTGTAGGCCTATAAGTCAGAACTCACCAAACTAGTAAGGCTTGGGACGTAGGCCTATAAGCCTGAACTCTCCAAACAAGTAAGCCTTGCGATGTAGGCCTATAAGCCTGAACTATCCAAACAAGTAAGGCTTGGGTTGTAGGCCTATAAGCCAGACCTCTCCAAACTAGTCAGGCTTGGGATGTAGCCCTATAAGCCTGAACTCTCCAAACAAGTAAGGCTTGGGATGTAGGCCTATAAGCCAGAACTCTCCTAACTAGTAAGGCTTGGGGTGTAGGCCTATAAGTCAGAACTCTCCAAACTAGTAAGGCTTGGGATGTAGGCCTATAAGTCAGAACTCTCCAAACTAGTAAGGTTTGGGATGTAGGCCTATAAGTCAGAACTCTCCAAACTAGTAAGGCTTGGGATGTAGGCCTATAAGTCAGAACTCTCCAAACTAGTAAGGCTTGGGATGTAGGCCTATAAGCCAGAACTCTCCAAACTAGTAAGGCTTGGGATGTAGGCCTATAAGCCAGAACTCTCCAAACTAGTAAGGCTTGGGATGTAGGCCTATAAGCCAGAACTCTCCAAACTAGTAAGGCTTGGGATGTAGGCCTATAAGCCAGAACTCTCCAAACTAGTAAGGCTTGGGATGTAGGCCTATAAGCCAGAACTCTCCAAACTAGTAAGGCTTGGGATGTAGGCCTATAAGCCAGAACTCTCCAAACTAGTAAGGCTTGGGATGTAGGCCTATAAGCCAGAACTCTCCAAACTAGTAAGGCTTGGGATGTAGGCCTATAAGCCAGAACTCTCCAAACTAGTAAGGCTTGGGATGTAGGCCTATAAGCCAGAACTCTCCAAACTAGTAAGGCTTGGGATGTAGGCCTATAAGCCAGAACTCTCCAAACTAGTAAGGCTTGGGATGTAGGCCTATAAGCCAGAACTCTCCAAACTAGTAAGGCTTGGGATGTAGGCCTATAAGCCAGAACTCTCCAAACTAGTAAGGCTTGGGATGTAGGCCTATAAGCCAGAACTCTCCAAACTAGTAAGGCTTGGGATGTAGGCCTATAAGCTAGAACTCTCCAAACTAGTAAGGCTTGGGATGTAGGCCTATAAGCCAGTATTTGGCCTCGTCTTTGTTTTGCTTGCTTTTCTTTTTGTTTTGTTACATATTGCGTATATTTTCACATTAATTTGCTTGCAGAGTCGAACATTATTCAAAGATTTTGCAAAGATTTTTTCATAAAAATTTCATTCAGCATTGCATATTTATAACTTATGTCACAAGTTCAAATTCTTGGTAAATCCTGGTGTTTTAATATATTGCAATTTTAGTATCTATCAATTAACTGCTTGTATTAATTTAGTATGGCAAACATTTTACAAAGTAATTTATTTTACTCCAGCTTACATGGCTACTGATGTACTGTTAAATAGTAACACAGATGATTCATGTTATGTATAAGTATGGTAGTTCAAATGATAAAATATTTATTTTTTAAAATTCAGTAAATTACAGTCTTAACAATTCTGTCACTTTGTTGTAGGCTGCCAATGCATTCCTCGCTCAGAGAATCTCAAGTATCAATGCCATGTCAGCCATCTGTGAAATGACGGGAGCTGATGTGTCGGAGGTGGCCAATGCCGTAGGCAGGGACACCAGGATAGGAAACAAGTTCCTTAGAGCCAGCGTCGGTCAGTATCAGTCCTCAGAGACCATAGCTTCATCAACTTAGTGAATGGTGTTATAAATCATGTTTTATACATGGTCTATATTACATATGCTTACAATTTACAAAAACAATATCGGCCTTAAATTTCAAGATTGAATGCGCCAATTTCAAGTTAACACATACATTTTATAATGTAACAACTATGAAAAGTTGTTTGTGTGTTATTAATATGCATAGTATGATGATTGTCTCCTGGTTTGGGAGAAAACAATGATTATAAGACTGCCAATGGGTATAGGATATGGAAATTCCACCAGAGGGTTTCTAATTGGGTAACACCCCGGGTTTGGAACCAAGTTGAATATCCCAAGGGTAGAATTTCCCTATCCAATCCCCTGAAATGAGTATTTTTCTCTCATTCCAAACTACATTATGAGCTCAGACGCCACAAACAGGCATTGCAAGCGTCATGGCTTCGGAATGTTCACAATTTTGTGACGGCGCATCACTGTTGTCCAGTTGTGATGTCATGCAGGTAAGAGAGTGATGTAAGAAATTTCTATCTTACACCATTTTCCTACCACAGACATGCACAGGAATGTCATGCTTGGTTTTCATACAATAACTAATATAAAAATGGTTTGATTCAGCTGAGTGTTTATAACAGCAAGTTTTAGACTTAGGCATGCCTATATAAATGTATGAAATATAAAACAACAAGTTGTAGACTTAGGCATACCTATATAAATGTATGAAATATAAAACAACAAGTTTTATACTTAGGCATGCCTATATAAATGCATGATATATAAAACAACAAGCTTTAGACTTAGACATGCCTATATAAATCTATGATATATAAAACAACAAGTCTTAGACTTAGACATGCCTATATAAATGCATGATATATAAAACAACACGTTTTAGACTTAGGCATGGCTATATAAATGTATGATAAATAAAACAACAAGTTTTCGACTTAGACATGCCTATATAAATGGATGATATATAAAACAACAAGTCTTAGACTTAGACATGCCTATATAAATGGATGATATATAAAACAACACGTTTTAGACTTAGGCATGCCTATATAAATGTAAGATATATAAAACAACAAGTTGTAGACTTAGGCATACCTATATAAATGTATGAAATATAAAACAACAAGTTGTAGACTTAGGCATACCTATATAAATGTATGAAATATAAAACAACAAGTTGTAGACTTAGGCATACCTATATAAATGTATGATATAGAAAACAACAAGTTTTAGCCTTAGACATGCCTATATAAATGTATGAAATATAAAACAACAAGTTGTAGACTTAGGCATACCTATATAAATGTATGATAAATAAAACAACAAGTTTTCGACTTAGACATGCCTATATAAATCTATGATATATAAAACAACACGTTTTAGACTTAGGCATTCCTATATAAATGTATGAAATATAAAACAACAAGTTGTAGACTTAGGCATACCTATATAAATGTATGATTTATAAAACAACAAGTTTTCGACTTAGACATGCCTATATAAATCTATGATATATAAAACAACAAGTCTTAGACTTAGACATGCCTGTATAAATGTATGATATATAAAAAAACAAGTTTTAGACTTAGACATGCCTATATAAATGGATGATATATAAAACAACACGTTTTAGACTTAGGCATGCCTATATAAATGTAAGATATATAAAACAACAAGCTTTAGACTTAGACATGCCTGTATAAATGTATGATATAGAAAACAACAAGTTTTAGCCTTAGACATGCCTATATAAATCTATGATATATAAAACAACACGTTTTAGACTTAGGCATGGCTATATAAATGTATGATTTATAAAACAACAAGTTTTATACTTAGGCATGCCTATATAAATGCATGATATATAAAACAACAAGTTTTATACTTAGGCATGCCTATATAAATGTATGATATATAAAACAACAAGTTTTATTGTTAGCATCTTTTATGGTTTAACTTTTTAGTATAAATTGAGTTCTTGTTTGTGATATTTTTCGGTATTGATTTTTGTCCAAATGGGCTTATAAGCTGTTGATGGGCCATAAAACAATATACCCTCTTAATATATAGTGGTTTGGTGTCCTTGTAAATCAGTTATCCCCCTTCCCCCCTCCCCTACCCCTATGTATATAATGATTGGTGTCTGTTTTTGTGTCGTTAAACATGTAATCCAGCACAATAGCATGACAGTGTAGTGGTGCTGGTATGTTTCAGGCTTTGGTGGTTTTTCAGGCTTTGGTGGTAGCTGTTTCCAAAAGGATGTCCTCAATCTAGTCTACCTTTGTGAGTGTCTCAACCTGCCTGAGGTCGCAGAGTACTGGCAACAGGTACATATACATATATTGTGTGAAGGGATGCACACTATAGACTGAAACAATATAAAACCAGTCCAGGGTCGCAACCATTTATTGTAAAAAAAAATAGGGATTTTTGGAAATGGGTACTTCATTAACAGGTGACAAAATGAATAAAACATACAAATAAGTGTAATTAACAGGTTTGTCCAAATGAATGACCTTGATCCATTTCTTTAGGTCAAGGGGTTAAATGTGTAAAAAATTCTGAACGTTTTCTTCTGAATAACCAAGAGGCAAAGGGACGTAATATCATGATGAAATTTGAATGTTGATATTATTATCAGCACATTGGATGTGGATATTATTATCAGCACATTGGATGTGGATATTGTTATCAGCACATTGGATGTTGATATTTTTATCAGCACATTGAATGTGGATATTGTTATCAGCACATTGGATGCGGATATTATTATCAGCACATTGGATGTGGATATTGTTATCAGCACATTGGATGTGGATATTGTTATCAGCACATTGGATTTGGATATTGTTATCAGCACATTTGATGTGGATATTGTTATCAGCACATTGGATGTGGGATCAATGTATCATAATTTATTTCAAACCTACGCCATGTTCTGTAGGGTATGTTCTCACATTTATTTTTTAACAAAACTGGATGTTTGTGTTCACAGGTGATCAACATCAATGACTACCAGCGCAGACGATTCGCCAACAAGATCATCGAGAGCTTATTTAACACTGTGACCAACAAAAGTATCGCCATCTTTGGTTTTGCCTTCAAGAAGGACACAGGTGATACAAGGTAGGTTGACATTTCTATAAAATGTCATTGTTGAAAGCTGTTATTGTTTTAACAGTGGTTGTTTATAAAATGTCATTGTTGAAAGCTGTTATTGTTTTAACAGTGGTTATTTATAAAATGTCATTGTTGTACGCTGTTATTGTTTTAACAGTTGTTGTTTATAAAATGTCATTGTTGAAAGCTGTTCTTGTTTTAACAGTGGTTATTTATAAAATGTCATTGTTGTAAGCTGTTATTGTTTTAACAGTGGTTGTTTTAGTACCATGACAAACGTAATCAATTATGACAGAGCTTAGTGTTCGTTTGTCAGTTAAAACAGTCTGTTCATTCATTACTTATGCTCACAATTAAATGAAGTAATTATGCTTTATTAAGGTCTGTTATCTTATTCAACAGAGAATCTGCAGCCATATACATTAGTAAGTACCTAATGGAGGAGGGGGCCTGCCTCAGGATATACGACCCCAAGGTTGAGGAAGCTCAACTTATGAGGTAAGTAACCTGCACTAAATACTGTATACCTGGAAACTTTCACCCGTCACTCTTCACCGACAGAGTCCTTATTCGCCCAGTGTTAAATTCGCCCCACACCACCAACAGTGGACACACACCGGACCCCAATTGCATCACATACGGTACCTGAGTTCAGCCTCAGTGTAGACGAAATAGTGACAAAACATGTGTCGCGTATACGTAAATTCTTTTAAACTTTCGCCGTCATGTTAAATTCGCCCTCGGATTGGAAGGCGAAAGGGTCGACAGTTAAACTGCCGCGAACGTTTCCCGGTATACAGTAACCTCGTACATGTTCAGTATTGAAATCATTTCCTCATAATGTGTTACACATGTACAGGATATACTTCTGATAAACATGATTGTAGACTCACAAAAAAGATAGTTTTCAAGATAGGGAAATATACTCAATGCGATATATTCGAAGTATCTCCTGTTTGAGAATGTAATATTTTTAGCTAAGATAAATAAATATCAAAATAAGAAATGCATCCATCAAAAAGTTACCTATGAAGTTTTATTTAAATATCTGAAAAGTGACACATTGAAGTGGTTGTTTGTCCTGTGTCGATGATAAACAATGATATTACAAAGTGAGGTGACATTCCACAGAAGAGTCGCTATATAGAATCTCTGTATTATAAACCCTCAGTGTCACAGAAGAGTCGCTATATAGAATCTCTGTATTATAAACCCTCAGTGTCAAGAAGAGTCGCTATATAGAATCTCTGTATTATAAACCCTCAGTGTCAAGAAGAGTCGCTTTATAGAATCTCTGTATTATAAACCCTCAGTGTCAAGAAGAGTCGCTATATAGAATCTCTGTATTATAATATCAGACTGAGTGTAACGTAACAGTATCATGTATAATTGTACATTGTAGTGAGTTGACTCAGCCTACCATTATGGATGACCCAGGAAGAGGTAAATATACAGTTCTCTATATACGTTAATAAGTTTCCCAGTGTTTAACAAAAAATCTCAAACCAATCATCATTATCACTCTTACCTTATTTTACAAAACATATGGAGTAATTCTATGAAAACTTAAGAAACTCTGATTTTAAACAAATTTGAATATCTGTTTACAGTAGCCAAATATTCCTCTGTCTACAGTGGCCAAATATTCCTCTGTTTTACAGTGGCCAAATATTCCTCTGTTTACAGTGGCCAAATATTCCTCTGTTTACAGTTGCCAAACAATTTGTCCTTCCTCCTTTTCTCTATATGTTGTCTTGATATGCTTCACACACAGCTTTTGCTAGTCATCAGATAAGGATTTTGCTTCAGGAGATTTTCACTGGGTATGTTTCTGTTTTACTGTTTGGGACTGTTTGATGAGCTGAGTAAGATTACCTGAGGTAGATGAGACTTGTGAAATAAGGTATTGATTCCTTACTGTAAAAGTAAACAAGCTACAGCTCTCTAGTCCTCTCTAGTCCCCACATATATAATAGTTAAATTCTGTGAGTATGGGTGATAGAGACGTGTCTTGTACTGAAAACAGTCTTGTGTGTTTGTCTTCATACAGAGTAATGACCCTTTGTTAGTTTTTGATACTGAAGTAGCTTGTCTGGAGTTGGGGTACTTCTCACAATACTTTTCTGTACATGTAAACAACGATATGCATCCTTAAATATTTGTTTGAACATGTTCGTACCTGTCATGTTACAGTGAAGGAGCTGGTGACAGTCTGTAAGGATCCGTACCAGGCGGCACAGAACGCTCACGCTGTTGTTATCTGTACAGAGTGGGATGAGTTTGTTGTAAGTACCCTCTCACAAACATGTGTTTTAACATTAGGCAGGAATCATTCACTATCTGATCAATAAAGGTCGTTCATATTATATGTTGTAGTCAGTACAAGTACAGTGATGCTTACCAATCAATGCCGTTAATAACCAATTAAAAGTAAGGTTAAACCACAGAGTATCAGAAACCACTTAACAACACTGATAAATGAATATCCACATGACATTTCTTTTTTTCAGGAATTAGATTACAAGCAGATTTACCAGAGTATGCTGAAGCCAGCCTTCCTATTTGACGGCCGTCTGATCCTGAAGCACCAAGAACTACAGGACATTGGGTTTCATGTTGTTACTATAGGCAAGAAACTAGAGCGGTCCAATGTGCACAGACCTATAGCTGCCAGCTTACAGTAACGGCACGGCAAGGACAATCAAAGGAGCTGCTATTGTACACATACTTAAGGAGGGGTTGACAATATACCAACCTCAGGCTGATTAATGATTTGCCAAAAAAAAGTATTCTTATCACATGTATGTAGTGGAATCAAAATCAGTTTTTCCACAATGTTAGTAAAATATTTTAAGTATGTGTAGAGATTCAGTAAATCTACTTCTTTGAGCTTTAAAACTTTTAGTCAGGTACAAAAATGCAGGTTGTATATTTACAAGTCCCCTTCAACTGTGTTTCTATATACTTAATGTCAATCATTTTATCTAGGTCAGAAAAGTTTAACATTTTACATACAGTGTATAAAATGATCTCATTAGATACTGAGACATAATTGAGGAACATTTGTTAGGCTGAAAGAGGTAAGTTTTTTAAACTGTTAATGAGATATAAGGATGAGGGGAGCATGACATTTGGTGACACTAGAACAGGTGGTAAATGTAATGAGTAATTTTTATATTGAGGTTATACGCAATTGTTGAAATTGTGATTTTCAAGATTGCCAGTACTTGTCATAGCTTTGTTTGTGGGATTATTTAGTTTTTACACTTGGTGCTTTATATAAATTAGACAAGAGATTTTGCTTGCATAATGTTATTGTGTTTGTTGTATCTGTTCCTGATGTTTTTATTGTCATTTTTTCTGGAAGATGTTTTATCTAGAATTTTTTAATCCAAATAGATCTTGAAAGTAATACTCTATTTAGTAAGAACAGTTGAAGGTTGACATTGCTATTGGGCTCAGGTTGTTAATGGTTTTTACCACTACCGATAAAATAGTAAAAGTTACGTGTAAAGAAGTTGCAAGATAAAGGCACTCCAAAACAGAAATCAAAGTGGAACCTTGTTAATATCCTGTAGTCTGGAAAATTGGCTCTCCATGTGCTTATAAATGGAGTTAATTTTGTACTTGAGGATAAAAATTGGTTCATTTCATTGGAACATTTCCAGGAGTGACAAGGTTCAGCTGAACTCACACATGTCTGGACTAACCACATTCCTGTTTACATAAAAGTGTCCAGAGTAACGAGGTTCCACTGTACATACTAATCAGCTGGCTATAGAGTTGGCCTGGAGTTAATCATCCTGAGTAATGATTTACTGCCCAGGGTTGTTTATCTAGACAGTAGCTAGTGACAAATCCTCCATTTGGTAGTAATCTGGTTTTGTTTCATATGTTATTATGTATACTGTGATGCCACGTTTTGGCATTTCTTATGGGCACGATCAAAATTATTCAAAATAAATCATTATTGATTTTTTTAGACCAAACCATTGTATACAATGTCTTTATCTTCACTGTTTTCTTGATGTTTTATTTATTATTGTATATCGTCTGATATAGCAGGTGATACAACGTCTATTGGATTTGTCTCCATTTATAGATCTGAGTACCAGATCATCTTATTTTAATATTCACTGCCCTGCTGCACGCTGCCTAGATTCTAACAATCACTGCCCTACTGCACGCTGTTTGGATTTTGACAGCAACTGCCCTGCTGGAAACTGCTTGGATCTGTCTTGCCAAGCAAACTACTGTTCACATAGTACAAGTTCTGTATCTTCCCTGTTAATTATTTCCGTCTTTTTACACTGACACTGTTCTGCAGAATGTTGTGTATTGTCTTGCCCTCATTGTGTCATATCTATGATCTAACTTGTACAATTTCTTTGCTATCACAAAGAACAAGGAGGTTTTCCAACAACGAAGTCACCTTAAGTATGGAACACCAAATTCTCATTTGTCTGCTTATTTTACTAAGATGAGATGATTTGCATCAAAAGTATGTATAGTCATGATATTGTAGTACAATGAGATGAATGGATACAATTTGAGTGTTGCTTTTCTTTGTGTGTATTCTACAGCCTTTGCCTGTCATAAATCTTCCTATATTACTTTCTTACCATAATCTCAGAAGTTCAGAAGTTGTTTTTAGTAAATATCATAAATTCAGAATTTGTTTTTAGAACATCATGAATTCAAAAGTTTTTATATCATTAACTCACAATTGATTTTAATAAATACATCGTGAACAATGTAGCTAGTAAATCACCTCTGTAGACTGAAGTCTCATCTAGATCTAAGTTTTTAGGTTTTTTGGTCTTTGATATGTTTTATGTTCAAATTACTATAGCTTCATCTGGTAGTTTGAATGTGCTTAATAGTCATTTGTAAAGTACATGTAATATAAAACAGATAATTATGATAACTATGTATTTGTTTTATACCCTTCATAATGTATGGTGCTTTATTTCACGCCCATATTTTCACTATGTCCATGATCTGAGACCTGTCTGGTCAGCTTAGCAACTCATTTCTTTAATTTTCAAATTGTTATTTAATGAGTTATTTCAATTTTTAAAGATATTTTTGTGTTTCATGCTTTCGAATGAAAATATTGTATCCCTATTAATGCAAAAATATTTATGAACTTAATTATTTTTTAACTTAATTATTTTTCAAAAAATATGATACAATCATTTTGTGTTAATTTTTCATTAAGCTAACCAGGCTTTGAGCACAATTAACAAATTTCTAAATAAACTTCAAATAATTAGTTTGCTTTTATGTATCCTGGTTGAAACTGTCCAGGTGGTGCAGAAATATTCTGCAATAAATATATGCTTTTGGATTTGAACTTCGCCAAACTTTTAGGCAGAGTTTTCGTAGTTTTGTGACAAATAAATAACAATTTATCGAGAATAATATATCTTTCTTTCAGAGATTTACTTAATTTTATATTATTTCTAGAAAGATGCAACCTAGTTTATGTAGAAAGAATGGAAACTAGTGATAGTCAATATGTTAGTTTTAGTCAGACACATCTGACCCCAAGATATGCACATGTCAAATTTTCCAGTGTTAAGCCTTAACCAAGATCTGAGCCTGCTGTTTTCTTTTCATGTTCAGCTGATTGAAACAGTTCAACCAGATTTCCAACGGGGCCTTAGTCAGTGTGAAACCATCATAAACCTACCCAAGATATGTCTCCGAAGTTTGACAATACAAAATTAAAAAGCTTTAAAGTACATAACTAGTCATATGCTTTGTAACACTATTAACTCATTCACCCCTGAAATTTCATAATGAACTATTCCAACCTTTGAATTGGAAGAGCTCAAATGTGTCTGCAGGGGTGATTGAGTTAACAGTGTACATCGCACAAATACACTTTTTGTTTGTTATAAGTATTGTTAATTTAGTACCTGGTGTGTATTATACTGTTGACATTTTTTTCTGTATGATTAATAATTCGCAGTTATCAAGAAATCAGATTCGGTGTAGAAAAAAAAAAAAAAAAAGCATTATTTCACAGTTTTAAATAAATTAATCATGATCACTGCTTTCCACTTTTATCACAATTATTGTATATATGCATACATATTTGTTTAACACTGTAAATAGCTACGCAACCCTTATTTTCCGTGAGGAGATTATACATATATATGTTGCCATGTCAGATAGAGCTCTAAAGCTAATTCTCCATATCATTGTGTTTATCTCATTCACCCCTGAAATTTCATAATGAACTATTCCAACCTATGAACTGGAAGAGTTCAAATGTGTCTTTTGATTCAAGCTTCACTTTTGACAAAAACTACTAAAATGAAGTGTTTCTGTCAAATTGAAATGATATTTTTTATGTTGTCAGGTTGCATGTACTTTGTATAAAACTATGGAAATGTTTTAGTTATTTTAGATCTTTTATTTTATTTCAATAAATTACTGACATTGCTTATTACACTGCATGCTTGTTCATTTGCTATTGTATCCCTACTTATTGATATGTTCAAATATTTTATTACATCATAATCTCTTTCATTGTTAATTTCTCCCGAATTGAAACAAACGTAATGAAATGTTTGAGTATAAGTTGACACAGATGAAGGTTGGTGATTACATATGGTTTGTTGTACACTGGCTGTGTTATGCTTGTGACTTGAGAGAGCAGGGACCGCTGTAGTTACTGTAAATAGATAGGGAGCTTGGGGGCCATTGCCGTATTGAGATGTAATAATGAGATTCTATCATATTAATTGATCTATTTAGTAGAAACTATGTTGTTTATCCAATTGAAAAACAACACAGTGATTTACACTGTAAAATGTGGTGAGTTCCAAAACAAGTTAAAATGCATCAAAATTATATACAAGAATTGGTGGGAATCATGATATCACAATCTCAAAAAAAACATTCCGGTCTATCAATAGCTGTATGTACCAGGGTAGTCCAGACATTACCCCTGGCCTAGAACTTCTAGGCCAATGTTTACACTGTGAAAGTCCGGGTGTAGCTGTTCCTTCTAATCTGATGTACAAGGGTTGTTAAAACCAACCTATTTACATACTGCCTACCATCTTGTTTTTCTACTCATAACAGAAAATACATATTTTATATCTAATTAATGTAAATCACACGACTTTATTGAAGTTTCATTTATATATATACATAGCCAATCTTACCATCCTTGTTGAATTTTTGTCAAATCCATATTTACAAGTTGTAATATTGTTTAATATATAGTGGGTACAAACAAACTTGTTTCTCTAAATTTGTATGTATATATGTCGTGAAGCCTGGTTGTATTACCAAGCCAGCAGCAAACAAGTTGTGTTTCATTTTCCACAAATGCTTTTCTTTTGTAATACAATTGTGTTAAACAATGTTGGTGTGATTTGTTGAAATCAAAGTGCAATTTTTGCAAGGCACATTGTTTTTCGTTATTTGTAAATACATGATTGTATTCATTTGACTGAACATTCTCTTGTCATAAATTTACTGTTGTTATAATGGTGTGGTTGTAGTACAAATGTATACAAACCCACAAATCTGATTTACATGTATCAGCTATTTGTTAATTTTAGGCGTACAGCCCACAAACTGATTTACATGTATCAGCTATTTGTTAATTTAAGGCGTACAAACCCACAAATCCGATTTACATGTATCAGCTATTTGTTAATTTGAGGCATACAGACCCACAAATCTGATTTAAGGCGTACAAACCCACAAATCCGATTTACATGCATCAGCTATTTGTTAATTTAAGGCGTACAAACCCACAAATCTGATATGCATGTATCAGCTATTTGTATGTTTAATTAATTTTTACATCTAAGTCAGTGTAATGTTTTTATTTGCCATTACATTACAAATTTACATTTTAACACTGTTATCATAACTTACAATGTCTGTATACACTATAGTGAGAGAATGTCAGGCAATACTAAAAGGTAAAGGTACTACACTGTTATCATAACTTACAATGTCTATATACACTATAGTGAGAGACTGTCAGGCAACACTAAAAGGTAAAGGTACTACACTGTTATCATATCTTACAATGTCTGTATACACTATAGTGAGAGACTGTCGGGTAACACTAAAAGGTTAAGGTACTACACTGTTATCGTATCTTACAATGTCTGTATACACTATAGTGAGAGACTGTCGGGTAACACTAAAAGGTTAAGGTACTACACTGTTATCGTATCTTACAATGTCTGTATACACTATAGTGAGAGACTGTCGGGTAACACTAAAAGGTTAAGGTACTACACTGTTATCGTATCTTACAATGTCTGTATACACTATAGTGAGAGACTGTCGGGTAACACTAAAAGGTTAAGGTACTACACTGTTATCGTATCTTACAATGTCTGTATACACTATAGTGAGAGACTGTCGGGTAACACTAAAAGGTTAAGGTACTACACTGTTATCATAACTTACAATGTCTGTATACACTAGAGTGAGAGACTGTCAGGTAATACTAAAAGGTAAAGGTACTACACTGTTATCATAACTTACAATGTGTGTATACACTATAGTGAGAGACTGTCAGGCAATCCTAAAAGGTAAAGGTACTACACTGTTATCATAACTTACAATGTCTGTATACACTCTAGTGAGAGACTGTCAGGTAACACTAAAAGGTAAAGGTACTACACAGTTATCATAACTTACAATGTCTGTATACACTATCGTGAGAGACTGTCAGGCAATACTAAAAGGTAAAGGTACTACAATGTTATCATAACTTACAATGTCTGTATACACTAGAGTGAGAGACTGTCAGGTAATACTAAAAGGGAAAGGTACTACACTGTTATCATAACTTACAATGTGTGTATACACTATAGTGAGAGACTGTCAGGCAATCCTAAAAGGTAAAGGTACTACACTGTTATCATAACTTACAATGTCTGTATACACTCTAGTGAGAGACTGTCAGGTAACACTAAAAGGTAAAGGTACTACACAGTTATCATAACTTACAATGTCTGTATACACTATAGTGAGAGACTGTCAGGCAATTCTAAAAGGTAAAGGTACTACACTGTTATCATAACTTACAATGTGTGTATACACTATAGTGAGAGACTGTCAGGCAATCCTAAAAGGTAAAGGTACTACACTGTTATCATAACTTACAATGTGTGTATACACTATAGTGAGAGACTGTCAGGCAATACTAAAAGGGAAAGGAACTACACTGTTATCATAACTTACAATGTCTGTATACACTCTAGTGAGAGACTGTCAGGTAACACTAAAAGGTAAAGGTACTACACAGTTATCATAACTTACAATGTCTGTATACACTATAGTGAGAGAATGTCAGGCAATACTAAAAGGTAAAGGTACTACAATGTTATCATAACTTACAATGTCTGTATACACTATAGTGAGAGACTGTCAGGCAACACTAAAAGGTTAAGGTACTACACTGTTATCATATCTTACAATGTCTGTATACACTATAGTGAGAGACTGTCAGGTAACCCTAAAAGGTTAAGGTACTACACTGTTATCATACCTTACAATGTCTGTATACAATATAGTGAGAGACTGTCAGGGAACACTAAAAGGTTAAGGTACTACACTGGTATCATAACTTACAATGTCGGTATACACTATAGTGAGAGATTGTCAGGCAATACTAAAAGGATAAGGTACTACACTGTTATCGTATCTTACAATGTCTGTATACAATATAGTGAGAGACTGTCAGGGAACACTAAAAGGTTAAGGTACTACTCTGTTATCATAACTTACAATGTCTGAATACACTATAGTGAGAGACTATCAGGTAATACTAAAAGGTAAAGGTACCTTAACCTTTTAGTATTACCTGACAGTCTCTCACTATATTGTATACAGACATTGTAAGATATGATAACAGTGTAGTACTTTAACCTTTTAGTGTTGCCTGACAGTCTCTCGCTATAGTGAATACAGACATTGTAAGTTATGATAACAGAGTAGTACCTTAACCTTTTAGTATTCCCTGACAGTCTCTCACTATATTGTATACAGACATTGTAAGATATGATAACAGTGTAGTACTTTAACCTTTTAGTGTTGCCTGACAGTCTCTCGCTATAGTGAATACAGACATTGTAAGTTATGAGAACAGTGTAGTACCTTAACCTTCTAGTGTTACCTGACAGTCTCTCTCTATAGTGTATACAGACATTGTAAGGTACTACACTGTTATCATAACGTACAATGTCTGTATACACTGTAGTGAGAGACTGTCAGGTATTACTAAAAGGTAAAGGTACTACACTGGTATCATAACTTACAATGTCGGTATACACTATAGTGAGAGACTGTCAGGCAATACTAAAAGGTTAAGGTACTACATGTACACTGTTCTCTGTATTTGTCTGTTTACATACTGGGAAGTATCTAATAAACGAGTTATATATTACAGATTGATTTTTGTTCTACTTGACTTATCAATGTTGCTACTTTCAGGTCTAGGTTATGAGTACATATTTAGCATACAACTTCAGTTTCTCCCTTTAATCTTGAAATGGATACATCGAGTCAGTAAAGTATCTATACAATTATAAACCATTCAAATATTTTCATATAATTTCTGTATTTAGGATCACAAACCACCAGCCCTCCACCACTGGGTCGCGGGTTTGAGGCCGACATGGGGCAGTCGCCAGGTACTGGCTGTAGGTCGGTGTTTTTTTCTCCAGGAACCCTGCATGGCTTTCCTCCACCGCCAAAACCTGGCACGTCCTAAAATGATCATAGCTGATAATAGGATGTAAAACACCAACAAACCAAACCAATAAGGATCACAAACTGTTCAAGGCATTTGTTAAAAATCCTAAGCATGCTTCATTGAGATACTAATTGTAAAGCTACAGAAGTGCAATTAATATGTCTTTGTTTCATAAGCACATTTCTTTGTAGTTAACCATTGTTTGGCTTTTTACATAATTTCTATCTGGTCTGAATTTGATCCTTTAAGAAATTTAAAAATGATAGCATTTTTCTTTTTTTCCTGAATGTGCTCTTAACACATTACAGTATATTGGCAGTCCTTACAATGAAGTGAATTGGCAGTGCTTACAATGGAGTAAATTGGCAGTCCTTACAATGAAGTGAATTGTGAGTCCTAACAGTGAAGTGAATTGGCAGTCCTCACAGTGAAGTGAATTGGCAGTCCTCACAGTGAAATGAATTGGCAGTCCTTACAATGGAGTGTATTGGCAGTCCTCATAGTGAAGTGAATTGGCAGTCCTCACAGTGAAGTGAATTGGCAGTCCTTACAATGAAGTGAATTGACAGACCTTACAGTGAAGTGAATTGGCAGTCCTAACAATGAAGTGAATTGGCAGTCCTTACAATGAAGTGAATTGGCAGTCCTTACAGTGAAGTGAATTGGCAGTCCTTACAATGAAGTGAATTGGCAGTTCTTACAATGGAGTGAATTGGCAGTCCTTACAGTGAAGTGAATTGGCAGTCCTAACAATGAAGTGAAATGGCAGTCCTCACAATGAAGTGAATTGGCAGGCATAACAATGAAGTGAATTGGCAGTCCTTACAATGAAGTGAATTGGCAGTCCTTGTAGTGAAGTGAATTGGCAGTCCTTACAATGGAGTGAATTGGCAGTCCTTACAATGAAGTGAATTGGCAGTCATAACAATGAAGTGAATTGGCAGTCCTTACAGTGAAGTGAATTGGCAGTCCTTACAGTGAAGTGAATTGGCAGTTCTTACAATGGAGTGAATTGGCAGTCCTCACAGTGAAGTGAATTGGCAGTCCTTACAGTGAAGTGAATTGGCAGTTCTTACAATGAAGTCAATTGGCAGTCCTTACAATGAAGTGAATTGGCAGTCCTTACAATGAAGTGAATTGGCAGTTCTTACAATGGAGTGAAATGGCAGTCCTAATAATGAAGTGAATTGGCAGTCCTAACAATGAAGTGAATTGGCAGTCCTTGCAGTGAAGTGAATTTGCAGTCCTCACAGTGAAGTGAATTGGCAGTTCTCACAGTGAAGTGAAATTCGATTCCAGAGACGATTTTTCTTTTCAAAAAGTATGTTACATGGAGTGGGAGGCGAGGGACTTCATCAACTTGTCATGACCAGCAGATCGGAAGCCTCAGGATTATGAACAAAATTATCCAACAGATTTTGATAATCCCTATGCTTGTGAAGAGATGACAATATTTGTACTGGTCATCAATCGGGAAGAAAGCTCCAGATAAGTTGTGGAAGAAATTGAATCAGTAGTCGTGAAACTTAACAACGAGGTTGTTATTTGTTGTGGGAGAAAAACAGTGCAAGATAAAATAAAGTGGTAAATGAGAGCACAAAGCGAACATCAAAGAATCGGAGGAGCCTTGGAATTACTAAAACTCCAAAAGATTTTAGAGGTTTTAATTCAAAAATCGAATATAGACGTAACATTCTACTTAATGTCATTTGAAGATTACAGAGGAGCGACACCCGACTTCAAAATCATTAAGTTTTACCGTTACGCGACCGCGAGATTATTTTGGTGTACATCAAAGGATCAAAGGCACCAGCAGTAGTAGAGGTTGGGTAAAGCCAGGGTAGATGCGAGTTTCAAGATTGGATAACTTCTATCAAAGGACATTATCTTTTGTTGCGCCGTTCTCTATTTTACCTTACCAAAATGTCCTACTCATTATATCTGTATATGGGTGTAAAGGCCGTGTCGACTCATGTTTACTGTGTTGTAAGAGCGCCGTTCTCTATTTTACCTTACCAAAATGTCCTACTCATTATATCTGTATATGGGTGTAAAGGCCGTGTCGACTCATGTTTACTGTGTTGTAAGAGCGCCGTTCTCTATTTTACCTTACCAAAATGTCCTACTCATTATATCTGTATATGGGTGTAAAGGCCGTGTCGACTCATGTTTACTGTGTTGTAAGAGCGCC